ACGAGAGAGAGAGAGAGAGAGAGAGAGAGAGAGAGAGAGAGAGAGAGAGTATATCATAAATTACTTTTGAGTACGCGACATCTAATGCGACTGAGAGTTACATAACAAAAGACACGATATCATTCCTTTCACAGAAAATATTTCTGTTCATCACATCAAGACATTGACGGTCTGCAAATATAGAACAAACATCATCTCAATGTTCTGACCGAAAAGTAACTACATTATATCGAAGAATGAATCCCCAAGTTTTCATTTGTCGAGCAGGTAAGAACTATGTTTTCTCTCTCACTGCGGGATTGTTGCGCTGAAACCTTGGACATTTGGGTAAACGTATACCCAAACAACCGTGAATAATCATTTACCAACTAGAGAATAAAATGAAATTGTATAGATCTGACGACCCTCGTAACACTGTAAACTACCCCCCCCCCCCCCCCGGGCGGGGCTACTGATTGACTGAAGCGTCTTTAGGTCATTCCCAAATGGGGACATTAACATGTTCTTATGCCCAGTAGAATGGGCTGATTCATCAATGCCATGCTCATAACTGTGCCTGAACTGAAACGGGGAACTGCAGCTTTTTCTTTCCTAATCCTTACTAGAATCTATCGCCATTTTCCTCTACTTCTTTTGTATGTTTGTCACACTCTTGTGACCTGCTATTTCCAGGGTGCGTTGATAGTCGAAGCAGAATTTGTGCGGATGAGGCTAGAGAGGTGAGCAGAGTAAGCCTGATTCCCTGTATAGATTTCTCTGTTGACATCCACCCCTTGGCGCTCATTTGACCTTATGCTGTTGCAGGCGCCGTAAAACTGTACTAAAACTAAAAACAACACTATAAGATTATTTAAGAGGTGGTGCTCCTAAATTAACGTCCATCTCCGATACGATCTAGCCAAATGGGAAATTTTGTTATAGCTGTCTTTTACAAGAACACAGCGTCGGATTGAACCCCTAGGATTTCTAATCAAGGAAGCAAGAGTATAAACCAAACAGCGAGATACATCACGAACATTCCACATTAACAAACACGCTAAGAACTCACCTAGTCCTGCGTCTCTCCTACGGAAACACTATCTCAAACTGAATGTGACAAACAGCAAGTGCACAAATTTTATACATGAAGCCCGAAAGGCTCTCAGCTGTATCCGGATATCTGCACTAATCAGATTTTGTAATATTCGGGTTTCTGATTGATTTGTGAAATTGTGAAATAAGGCATTTGAACCGCATCAGGGACTAAATGAGTGGTAAATATTATAATAGCCTGATACCTATAACATAAAAGTAACACTTTTAAATTTCCCATGTCTAAGAAAAAAAGTTTTGGACTCTCCAACTCCTCGACCGAATAGTATTTATTCGAACCCTCTGTCTTAAAAATCGATTCTGTTTCTCTGAAATCGAAACTAGCGTCAGCTTTCGCGTTCTCGGTAATGACGTCATTTCTGGGTAACTTGTTTTTAATTAGATGTCGATACGCTAGTGATAGGCTGTCATTGCAGTATCATCTTTGGAAACAACTATTGAAAAATCTGATAGGAGTGCTCCTATTCAAAAGTCAAAACTTGTATTTGAAATGCACTGTATGGCCACTGAAACTGAACGCTGACGTCATCCAAATACGTATACATCAAGAGACAATTCTCTCAATTCCAAGTATCTTATAGAAACTAATCTTCCTTACTTTTTTCAACTGTTCGATTGGTCTAGTTTCGTCAAGGCCATGGTTGTAGAAACATACACACACACACGCACACACACATACATACACAC